CTCACACACATTCACACTCGCTCACGCACATTCACACTCGCTCACGCACATTCACACTCGCTCTCACACACATTCACACTCACTCACGCACTTTCACACTTGCTCACGCACATTCACACTCGCTCTCACACACATTCACACTCGCTCTCACACACATTCACACTCGCTCACGCACATTCACACTCGCTCACGCACATTCACACTCGCTCTCATACACATTTACACTCATTCACGCACATTCACACTCACTCACGCACATTCACACTCGCTCCCGCACACTCACTCACACACATTCACACTCGCTCTCATACACATTTACACTCATTCACACATATTCACACTCCCTCACTCACTCACACTTGCTCTCATACACATTTACACTCATTCACACACATTCACACTCACTCACACACATGGCTGTGGGAGGCTCGTACCTGTACAGGGGCGGAGGGGCTGGAGCAGCGCGAGTTGTCGTTGCTAGACTCCGCTTTCTTCCCCACCCTAGTGTTCTGTGAGCTCACACTCTCTAACGAGGTGCAGCTACACACACACACATACACACAGAGATGGACGCAAACACAAATGAGATGAGAGATGACACAAGCAATATGATACAAACGCCGCAACACCAGCTGCTCTGATCAAAACACACACAAACCTCAGACAGATGAGATGACACACACACACACACACACACACAAACAGACAGATGTGAGCAGACGGGGTTAATGACACACTGAACACTGCAGACACACATCAATATGTGACGCCTCATATTTCACACACAAAGCAGCACAAATATGTACCACATCATGTTTTCTTTACAGCAAATGAAGGATGTTTCATCATGTTTCACAGTAGGCTTGTTTACATACTCTTTTCATCAATCCAAATGAATTTAATCCGATTTAAGATTCAGAAAGCTCCGTTTACATGAACCCTAACCATTGTGCACTACATGTATTCTGAACAAAACTTCATATGTACAGTGCTGCATTCAGAACCAGATAAAACCACTACGAAAATGTCAACAAGAGTATGAATGCTGTTTTTGCCTTGATGACAAAGCTCTAAAAACAAAGCTGAAATAAATGTCAGAAGAGCTTTTTAGCAAATATTTAGTAATTATTCAGTCTCCTCCACTGAGCAGTTCTTAAAATGTAAGACATAAATAAACCAAAGCATGTTTACACTATTGTGACATTATTTTCATGTCAATAAAACACAATTAACCCCGTTTAAATCTTAACAATGATGAAATAACGAAAACATTTTCGTTACCTTACCCTAACCTTAAAAATAGCATAATAGGGGCACTTTAAGCTATTTGCTGAGTCAACGTTTATTATTTTAATTTAGTTTTACTTGATGCACTAAAGTAACTAAAACTGAAAAATGAATAAAAACTATACAGATATATAAAAAAAAAATGCAAAATTACTAAAACTTTAAAATAAAAATGATAACAGAAAATATCAAAATAAAAACTATAATAGTATCTCAATGATACTAAAATAATATAGCTGTCTTACTGAAATCATTATAAATTCAAAACAGCACCACTAATAATAACTTTACAACGTAAATAATATTATGCTTTTTTACACATTAAAGTACTGACAATTTGAGGGAAGAATGTGTTTATTCTCATGATAATCAGTCACACTGAAAAACTTTGGTAACACTTCACAATAAGATCTCATTAGTTAACATCAGTTAATGCATTAACAATGAGGAACTCATTTTATATTAATCTTTGTTAATATTAAAATACAACTGTTTAGTTTCTTAGCATTAAATAATATACAAGTATAAATTTTGTTATTAATAATGCATTAGTAAACGTTGAAATTAACATGAACTAAGACTAATAATTGCTTAGAAGTATTTTTCATGTTAACTAAAGTAGGTAACTAATGTTAACAAATGAAAGCTTATTGTAAATTGCTCCCAAAACATCTTTACGGGCCTCAAATGAGCTTGATTTATTTCGTTCTGCTTTGTTCTGTGGTGAAATATGAGCCTGGAGATGATCTGTTCAGGGTTAAACTCACGGAGCAGTTCATCTGCGTTCAGGCCGTCAGTAAGACGGTGTTACAGACAGTGTGTTGTGTCGTCTGTGTTCACTGTACGTCCCACACAACACACTGCATGTCAATCCAACACACAGAGTCTGGTTTAGTGTCAAATCAGACGTCATGCTCCATGCACACGAGAGTTAACCGGTTAAACCACACCACCACTACCACAGACACGGTTCATCGATCACAGACACGTACCCTTCGTAGTCGTGACTGGGCTCCTGCCGTCTGATGATCAGGTAGGTGACCACAGCGATGATGATGATGCCGATCACGGCTCCGATCACGCCGCCCACGATCACCGCCGCGCTGGTCTGAGGAAGAGCCTCTGAACACAGAGAAACACGCTCGCTGTGAGTACAGCGGCACCAAAACAAAACTAAATCCTGATACGGCTTTGAGATTTTTACGTCACAAAAGCTGTGATTTAATCATGCAAATATATACACCGTGTTCATTTACACGTGAGCAGCTCATGATCTGGTGTTTTCAGCATCTCAAAGCGATTCGATACACAGCACATGAATGAGTCTGAGATGCTTTAACATGCATGAGAAGGAAACATCTCCAGACATCTTCACAAGCTCGAAAGGAGAAGTGCTTATCAACTAAAGAGAAGCTTTAAGGATCCCTGCAGTTTTCCGTCGAAAAATAGAACATTTGAAGTTAATTTGAAAAGAAATGAAGACAACTATAAATATTAGTACTGTTACTATAAAATTGTTATGTAAAATTATATAATTTTTCTTAAATTTGCAACTTTTCTCTGTAAAGCTGTTTTGACTTTTGACATTTAATTTTATTTTTTAAATTACATTTTTTGACTTTTGACAATTTAATTTTTTTAATTTAATTTTTTGACTTAATTACATTTTTTGACTTTTGACTTAATTTTATTTTTTACATTTAATTTTTTGACTTTTGACAATTGTATTTTTTTAATTACATTTTTTGACTTGACTTAATTTTATTTTTTAAATTAAATTTTTTACAGCACTATAAAAAAAAAAAAATATATCACTAGTTATGTTTCTATTCTAGTTTTTGAGTAATCTTTAATAGTTTTATTTAGTAACAATAATAATACTTTTTTTAATAGTCATATTAATACATATCTTATTTTCCAGAAAATAAGTCGCACCAGAGTACAAGTCACAATTGCATCGTTAAAAGAAAAAAACACAGTCGCATGACGCATGTTATTATTAAATTCAGAAATATCTGTAAATGAAATGTTTACAAACATTATATAAACAGCACTACAGAGGCCAAACTTAACCAATTTGTTTAAAGCGAAACCACCGTTGCAGAATCCAAATGTTTCTACATTCATGATGTAGCCTAACATATGGCTATTTAACTATTATTTATTTTATAACCAAGTCATTGTAGTTCACTCGAGTCCAAATAACCACGTGCCTCATGTTATCGAAGTCATAATCACACAATTTTGGCAAAATTGTGCAACCCTACAAACAAGCAGAGAAAACCTGGAATTTTTTAAATCACAATTTTTATCAGAAATTCGGGGGGGTTTTTTCACTCTACGTCCGCTCACCTTTCATGACCACCCTGACTTTAATGAAGGACATCTGTCCGGAGATGTCTGGAGGATTCTTCACGTCGCAGCTGAACGTCCCGTTGTCCTTGAACTGCATCTGGAGCACACGGATCGACACATCCTTCTTGTTCATGTCTCCGGCCCATTCCACACGAGACTTAAACTGCGGCAGCGAGCCCGGAAACGGCTTCCCACCGGAGTAATAGAAGAACTGCAGAAGAGAGCATACGTGTTGATCACATGCTGACGGTATAACACATGACCATCAGTGCAGTTCAGATGAAGCACTCTTACTGAAGTGAATGCTCCTGTTTCTCCCTCCGGAAGGAAAGACCACGTCACTGACGCAGAACTACTGATCACCTCTCTAGACTTGAAACTGCAGGACAGAGTGGCTGTGGTCCCGTTCTCAGCAAACAGCTCGGCTGGAGTGTACACGTCTATCGCCGACACGCCTGAAACACAGGTAGTTACACGCCAGTCAAACACACAGATACAGAATCAAAGAACAGACAAAAATAAACATGATCTCCATCAATGGACAAAACACTGCGGTGCTTTAATTCTGGTTATATAGGATGGTACTGAATGATACCAGAGTAAAACAGCATGGTTTCTTCAATCAATACCATAGTATTACCATGGTACTCCTACTATAGTTAGTTTTTTCACACATAATACACACATAAAGGCCACTATGTAAAACAGAGAATGTAGTAGATGTTGTTTAAGGATTTACACCATCTGCTCATTAAAATACAATAAATGTAATAATTAATTCAGATGCTTATTTGAGTCTTTATTGTTCGTCTCTCATGTTTGCTAAAGGCTGATCATTCAGGGTTGATTAAATTTATTATTAAGCATTAACAATAACAGGAGTACATGATTAAATATATAAAACAAAATATAAACCCTTTGTATACGTTGTTAATTGATCAGAAGTTGTTTTCGTGTGTAAATATAATATAAAGTAATAAGGAGGGAGGCTAATGTGCTAACAGAACAATACGAGCTAAACTTCCTGACCTGAGAAACACATTAAACACTCGCACACTGTATTTATTTACATCACCTGCTTCAGAACATGACATTAATACAACACAAGAGCTGTTCTTTATAGTTTCAGCTCATGTGCTATTATTATGAAACCAGCAGATAAATTATAAGGTGAACTGAAGCTAGCAGGTTAGCACGCAGCTCCGCTAACGCTCACAGATGAGATCAAAACGCCACATAGAAAGACACATAAAACTTACCAGCGAAAACAAACACCGCAGAGACACACAATAATACATGATTGCGTGTGAAAATCGGAAGCCTTATTTCCATCCTTTAGATTTCATGAAATATCGTGCGAGTTCCGGAGCCTCAGCGTTTATTTACAGCGTCAGACTGACGGAGTCTCGCGCTGATCTCAGATCAGACTCACTGACGATGGCTCTAATGTACCGCTCAAACTCTACTGATCTCAGATCAGACTCACTGACGATGGCTCCAATGTACCGCTCAAACTCTACTGATCTCAGATCAGACTCACTGACGATGGCTC